GGAAGCTTGGCGGCGGGGGAAGTGAACTATTCAGAGTAAGAGGCGCGGAGCTGACAGCCGTCACCTGTCCTGCGTTTCCGGGTGGTTCCCGCCAAAATGGCTCACCTGGAGGGCATGGTGCTCTGTCGAGAGGCTCAAGTGTCCACGTTGCAGTCCCTGTTTGGAGAGGTATAGTGGTCAGACTGTTTCCCAAATTCCAGAGGAGAACGGGTCCCTGGTCCGTTCCTATTTGGGGGAGTAGTGTGTGGATCACGAGGTGGTAGGTTACCGTCTTAGGATGAGATGGAGGTGCTGTAGGCCTGTCCCACACTTACCCAGAGAAACTTCTGTCCGTTTCAAAGGAGACTGCAGAGGAAGGGCTGGCCAGCTCATTGGCTAGGAAGTGGTCCTTTTACTTGGTCCATACTTCGGAGATTATGTGAGCACTGAATAGGCACTGCAAGTTGCTACTGAGCAGGGGTTAAGTCTGTTTGCAGAGTGTTTATTAAATGCACGTTCACCCGTTGAAGTGGGGTGTAGATTAGGTCAAATACAGAGAGGTTGTTGCTTCAAGGCTGGGAAAACGCTGTGTTTTAGCCTTTAAAACCCTGCAGCTTTCCAGCAGAGGTCTCGCCTGGGTTCCTCTCCCTGCCTAGGAGATGAGCTGCTTTACAGGAGAGAGCTTGTCCTCCGAAATGAACACAGCTAGAGATCCCTTTTCATACGCAGGGGTAGCATTCACTTTCTCGTTTGCCTTTTGTATTGTACTCATTAATTCGAAGTAATTGCACTTGGATCTTATCGCGAAGATGAGTAAAAACAAATAGCCTTGTAGTTTGCGTTTTAAATATGTACTTATCCAGCTGAGTATTGGATGTGAGTGAGTCTGAGGTCATTGGTGAAGTATTAATGGAAAAGGGCTCTAAAAGGTGTCACATTAGTTAAGATTGCGGCCAACTGTTATAATGCTTTCAATTATAGTTCCCTAGATTGTTGAAATATATACATGTTTATGCTCTACTTCATAAACACGGATTACTCCAACCAAAGACACTCATCAAAAGTGGAGTTCGTTATTAGCAAATAAATATGGGTAATGCTGATTTAGTGGTGGATCACAGAAAAAGATTTTCACGTTTGCCCTTTAAATTATGTTTAACAAAAATACTATTTTTCTTTAAAGTCATTAGCATGTGGAAAATACAAAGACCCAGGATAGCAAATAACTACGAGACTGAGAGTGAGACAGAATCACAGAGAGAGACAGAAAGAGATCTAGCTCATGTTTCTTAGAAGATTCGTTTGTATGTTTAGCAAATGTGTATTTGCTGAGCACTTCCTCTCTGTATGACGCTGGGCCAGATTCTCTCTTGTTAACAGATGTTAGTGAGGTTTATGATAGTGAAAAGATAAGTAATTGTAAAGTCGTTTTAACTATAACAATATAAAAGTTGTTATAAAGGGGAGTGTGCTGGTTAGTTTTGTTATCAGTTTGACATGCTTAAAGTTATCTGGGAAGAGAGACCTCAATTGAAAAAAAAATGCCTCCAACAGATAGCCTATAGGCAAGTCTGTAGGGCATTTTCTTGATTGATGATTGATGTGGGAGGGCCCGGCCCACTGTGTCACTCCTGGGAAGGTGGTCTGGGTGATAAAGAAAAGAAGCTCAAGAAGCCATAGGGAGCAAGTCAGTAAGAGGCCTTCCTCTTCAAGTTCTTGCCTTGAATTCTTGTCCCAGTTTCATGATGATCTATAACTGTAAGCTGAAATAGACCCTTTCCTCCCCAAGTTGCTCTTGGTCATGCTATTTATCACAGTGCTAAAAGCCTGTTAGGGCATGGAAGATTATATTAGGTACCAAATAGCAGAAGTAGACAAGTGTGACAGGATTCCAGAAAATCAGATTTCATCTAGCTTCGAAAACAAACAAACAAACAAACAAACAAAAAAACAAAGCTGTTGATGGTTACCAAAAGTTTCCTTTTTGCTTATGCAGTGATATCTGAAATTATTTTTTAAATTTATGCCTCCCCAGTAGATTATAAATCCTTCTGAGTTTAACCTATCTTAAACTGTTTTCTGTGGTGCTCAGTTTCTTTTATGGCTGTCTCATGAATGTTTGATGTTCATCAAGTAAATAAGGCATATTGGCATAATTGGATAGGCCAGTAATACTTCTGACAGTTTGCTTCTGACTTAATGTATTACAAAAACATCTTGTGCATATGCATGTTAGTTAACTTTTTTTGTGGTGGTAGGGATCAGATCTAGAGCCTTGCACATTCTTAGCAAGTGACATGCCACTGAATTGTGTCCCTATAACCAATATATACACCGCTATGTAGATTTTACCAGGGTTTGATTTAATGAAGTGTATACACTTATGCCAAGGTAAGTGATTATGCATAGTTTAGAGGTATTCTTTAAGATTTCCTAGGAGTAAGATCTCAAAAATGTCTCTTGTGTTGCATTGTTTTAGTTTCAAACATTAAAATGTATAAGGAAATTGTAGCCTACAAGGACATTAGATCTTTGAGAAAGATTAAGATAAAAATGTAGTATAGACAAAATTATCCTGGAAAATTTCCTTAAATCTCTTAGAAAGTTGAGAATGCAAGAGTTTGAGTTTGGAAATACATTTAATAATAAAAGTATGGTTATATAAAATACATAAAAAATAATGGCCACATATAATTTTACAAGATAAATTCATAAAGGAAAGCACGTCAAGTTGAATTCAAGTTCAGAATCTTAAGAACTTATATGTATGCACCACTAAAATTGAATTTAGTATGATACCGAACCAATAAAACTTTCTTACAAATTGGTAAATGTTCATTTATGGTTTCATAGAGACTGAAAGAACCTTGTCTTTTCTTTCCTAGAGACACCATTTCAGCTTTCCATCCATCTTTATTTATGGACATACTGCCAGTGGGAAGACCTATGTCACACAGACCTTGTTGAAGACTTTAGAGGTGAGGATAACCCTGATCCTGGTATTAATGGATCCTTATTCCTAATTGCTACAGGTGGAATGGATCTGGATGTTTTATTCAAGTTTACCTTTCTCTAGAGTATATTTGTATAAAGTATTTCTGCCCAGATTTTGTTGGAATACTTTCAATGTGTATAAACTTCAAAACCTACTTGTTATTAAATAACTTGAACCCTAACATTAAAAAGTTTTAAGTTAAGTCTGATTTTTCTCTCTTTTATCGACACACAAGTAATAGATTCTTTTAAAAATAACTTGAATTTGCTTTTTAACATGGTTCTTTTTGACTTTCTTTTTGTAATATTGATTCTGATGATTCTGATTTTTCATAGAATTTATGTGTAATTTCACAGAAAGCATGTGTAAAGCTGAACATACTTCCATCATCTTCTTTCCAAATTTCCTGTTTGAATAATCTTCATCATTAGTACAGCTGTCAGAATTTTTTTATAAGTTCTTTTTGTATCCTCATTCCTGCAGTAAAACAATCTAATACATTCAATTGTAAAGTCATGACTTCATCTGTATTTATTCTTGGCCATTGCTATCTCAGTTTCATGTAGCATTGCTTGTTCCAAGTATTTCTGCATGTCTCCTAATTATAATTTCTTTTTCATCCTGTGACCTACTCATGCACCTTCAGGTCAGTATTCGGGTGATTCAGATGAGTCTGGTAGACTCATTTTCTTCTTCTGGATTCACCACCTAGTGCCTTCCCTATCTTCATACTGGGACAAGTAGTCAGCCTTTGGGATTGCTGTGATAAGTAAATGTTAACACATGAAAAAATGCATTACAGCATAGTATTGTAAGCAGTTAAAATAAAGTCCAGATGCTGTTAATGTATATAACCACACTCCTGTTCATGTCCTAAGTCAGCAGTAGCAATATTTACATGAACGGGCATGGCTGTGATCTGCAGCAGCTGCGCACACAGAAGCAGATGTGCAGGCCACAAGCTTCCGTCTGCTAACTCTAGTCTTGCCTAAGCTCCACGGATGCATGTTTAAGATGGCCTGATGAATTACGTATAGTTCCTATTGTGTTACAAACTTTGGTCTGTGTTGCGTCCACTCCTTGGAATGGCTTTCCTCTACTTACTGTCGTCATCTTTATTGACAAATGCTAATTTAGCCTTTTTTCCCTACCTCTTCTGGGAAGTGTTTCCTTACTTCTGATGCTATGTTAAATGTACCCCTGTTCTGTGGTTTTAACACTTTTAATTTTATTGTATGCATAATATTTAATCTTCTCAACTGTGATTTTGTGTGTGTGTGTGTGTGTGTGTGTGTGTGTCTGTGTGTCTGTGTGTCTTGTGTTTCCTGGATGTAATTTTTTTTATGTATTGTCCTCGTATACACAGTGTTTGGCATACTTCAAGGTTTAGATATTAGTCTTTGATCCCAAAGATAAGCTGCCATTTTATTTTGTTTTGTTTTTAAAAATTTTTAATTTATTTATTACAATTTATTCACTTTGTATCCCAACTGTAGCCCCCTCCCTTGTGTCCTTCCTCTTCTCCTCCCATGCCCCTTCCCCAGTTCACTGATAGGGGAGGTCCTCCTCCCCTTCCATCTGACACTAGCCTATTAGGTCTTATCAGGACTGGCTGCATTGTCTTCCTCTGTGGTCTGGTAATGCTGCCCACCCCCTCAGGGGGAAGTGATCAGAGAGCCAGCAACTGAGTTCATGTCAGAGACAGTCCCTGTTCCCCTTACTAGGGACCCTATTTGGAGACTGGGCTACCATGGACTACATCTGTGCAGGGGTTCTAGGTTATCACCATGCATGATTCTTGGTTGGAGTATCAGTCTGAGAAAAGACCCTTGGGCCCAGATTTTTTGGTTCTGTTGCTCTCCTTGTGGACCTCCTGTCCCCTTCAGGTTTTTCTGTCTCCCCCTTCTTTCATAAGATTCCCTGCACTCTGCCCAAAATTTGGCTTTAAGTCTCAGCATCTGCTGTAATACCCTGCTGGATAGATTCTTTCTCAACTGCCATTTTAAACACACAGGTGCCTGGGTTTCGTATTTGGCTTTAGACTCTGTTTACAAGGTCTTTGGTCTTCAGCTTGTGTGTATCCAGAAGGTACCTGTTAAACAAAATCATGAAGCAAGGAAGTTTTATGTTTAAAAGATGTATTACATTTTTAACATTTTGTTACTTTTGCAACAAATTAATCAGTATTAGATGGGATTATTACTGCTTCTGTTATATATAACCAAATATATCCTTAGAAAAAAGATGCTATTATTTCAGTCACACAAAAGTAAACAAGATACGTATCTTACGTATCTTAGCAGACATTGTGAGTGTTCTACCTAAGGAAATGAGGGTAAAGGAGGTTAGCAAATACTGATGGCACCTCTCTCATTAATAAATGTAACCTACTAGCAAATAAAATTCTCTAATAAACAAATTTCTTACTAGGAATTTTAACCTTCAAAAGTTATTTGTTTTCTTTATAATAATACTTTGAGAGGAAAATACCAATTTACTTTGGGTCCTAGAAGATAACAACACTGAAGTTATTTAAGGAAGGGACTGTTTACAAAGGTTGAAGAAGTTTTAAGGGAATCAAAAAGGAACAGTAATTTATTATGGCCTTAACCAGCCCCAGACCTCAAGGAACCATAGTGAATCACTGTTGCCAGAGATCAGCAAGACCAGTAGCCTTACAAAAAAGGTGTACCCAGCTTGAGCTCTGGCCTTTTGTAACAGAATGTAGACGCTGCCAAAGTGGACTGTCCAGGGAAGAAATACTGAACTGTTTCCTTCAACAGCTCTGTTTCAGGCCCTAGCTGCTGCTTCCTGTTGATGTCTCCAGCCAGGGCCTGGAATTTGTACAGTCAGGTTCCTGGGACATAGGATGGATGAACATCAGTAGGGTATGGATTAACAGAGGGAATTAGAGGCTGTCCCACAGAAACTTTATTGTTCATGTTTTTTGTTTACCCTGTTTTGTTTTTTGTTTTCAGCTTCCGCATGCCTTTGTGAATTGTGTTGAGTGCTTTACTTTGAGACTACTTTTGGAACAAATTTTAAACAAGCTGAATCGTCTTAATTCTTCAGAGTCAGGATGTCCTACAGAAATGACCTGTGAAACATTTAATGACTTTGTTCGGTTGTTTAAGCAAGTGACCAGTGCTGAACATCTCAAGGATCAGACTGTATATATTGTAAGTAATTTGATGTGATCATATCATTCTTAATTTGAAAACTGTGCAATAGATGCACTTCCATATATTTATTTTGAGTCTTTTTGTATAGTGCTCTGTGAAAGGTGCTTTTGTGATACAAAAATGTGTCAGAGCTGCTATTAAAAGGGAGCTTTGCTCTACAGAAGAGTTGTAACACCTACTTCCATAAGACAACACGCAGAATAGAATAAATCTAGCCAGGGTGTGCGAAGTACTGATGTTAGTGATCTGGTACAGCTTCATGAGGTGATAAGATCTGAGACGGACCAAAAAGAATAGTAGGATCATTAGTTACTTTGCTCATTGTAACAAAAACATCTTAAGGGAGGACAGGTTGATTTGGGTTTAGTGGTCCAGTATGGAGATCTAATTTTGGGGCGATGAACATACAGGCACTACGAGACTAGATTAAGTTACCAGTACAGTTAGCTATAATACAGATGAGCCTTGGACCTGAGAGATGTGGCATTCCGTGTGCTTATGTAATATGCCAGTGTTCAGAGGAGGATGAGATAAGAAAGAACAGACATGAAGACTGAGACTTTAGCGAGGTGTTAAGTCTACTCAGTGTGCAGTATCTTAGAAGCCTGCCAGGCTTTCCCGTTCCTGCTCCTGTAGCCAGAGAGAGCACTTCCTTGTTGGAGCTCTTTTGGTCTGTTCCTACTGTTTTCCTCCTTTGCTGGCATGTTTAGCACATTTCGGAGATACGAGGGACAAAAACACAAACCAGGTGATGAGAAAATCTCTAATGTGAGCTGTCTGCTTTTTCTCTGTATGTTTCAAAGATTTCTTTGTTTTATAGAATATTCATTGTTCTTAGTTTGCCTTTGCAGGCAATTCGGAAAAAACAAAACAAAACAAAACAAAAACAAAAAAACATGTTTTCTGTCTTGTAAGAAGTGGAAGGTTTTTTATTTTAAAATTCATTTATTTTATTTCATGTGTATGGGTATTTTGTGTGCATGTACATCTATGTACCACATGTGTGCCTGGAGCTGACAAAGGTCAGAAGAAAGCATTGGATCCCCTGGAACTGAAGTTATAGATGGTTGCAAGCTTCCATGTGGGCGCTGAGAATCCAACCCAGGTTATCTGGAAGAGTAGCAGGTGCTCTGGCCATCTTTCCAGCCCAATGCAATGACTACTAGTAATTCGCACCATTTCTTTGATGTATGCTAAGGTGACTCGTGTTTAACTCACTGTTGGGTTTTATACAGTGCAAATGTTTCAACATGATGAAAAGGGCAAATACCGTTTTAATATTATGAAAATTGTTTCATAATGTAGGGACTGAATGTCTTTCATATTCATAGAGGGCCATATCTGTAGAACTTGAAATATCTAAATATATAAATGTGCTCTTAGAGAAGGATGATTTAAAAAATGTAATTGATAGAAAATAAGGAGGATTGGCCCTAGAATATATGGCTGGCTTTAGCAACTAGAATTTGCAGGACGAGTTAGATTAGAAAGGAGAGAGAGCTAGGGTAAGGATGGGAGAATATTCATTTCTCATATCCCATAGACCAGTGCAAATACCTAGCAAACATTTGTTATTTGGCTAAACAGTAAGGGTAGAAAAGTGTACAGGTGTTTGGTGTCGAGCATGTTTTTAGAGTAAGTTTATGGAATGGTCTGTAACTATAAATCTATATACTTTATTACGTTGGAAATAATATAGAAAGTTGACTAAGAATTTTCTGCTTGTTAAAATGGCTTATAAATTGAGAATCTTCTAAAATGCCTTACTATGAATCATTAAGAAAAATATTCACATCTCAGTTTTCCTTTAAAATCGTAGTTATCTGATAATAGCTTTTGAAGAAGGATCATTAATTGGAATAATGAAATCATTAATTATAGCAGTTCATCATTATCAGATTAAAAGAATAGACTCTTAATTTGATGTTTTTGCTTTGTGTTTTTTTTTTTTCATTAAAGTAGATCTTTTTTTTTATTTTTTAGTTAGTCTGTTTTAGATTAGAATTATTTAAATGGAGATTGATGGGAAATTTCCTAATGAGACTGTGTAGTGGAAAAACTTAATTTTCATTTATATCTTTATTGCAGTAAGTTGTAGCTTTAGTTTGTCTAAACTAACTAGGAATTAAATATTTTAAATATGATTATTCTCATATATTTTTACAAGTTCTCTGTTAGTAAAATGGATATAAAATATCTGGATTATTCAGGAAAACTATATCTTGCATCTTTTTTTTGTTCCTAAATTAAGTGATTATGTAACTTACAATAAGATCTATTATTAAAGTGTCTATGTTTCTGATACAAGATAGGCTCCTCTGTAGAGAAGGGGACCTTAGTTCTCTGCAGAAAATGCACTAGATAACACAGGCCATGTTGTCATGTTTCAAAGCTAGGAAAATATCAGTGACTGAAAAACATGGGAGCCAATTTGAAGAGGATCATACTGACCAAGTATAAGACAATTTGACTATTAAAAAATGAGTTACGTCAAGCTGTTACTAACTTGGAAGCTTTCCCCTCTGCCTAGTTTTCATAGTGTCAGTTTATGTAGTGTCGGGTGCTTTGCTGGCTGTTGCGGGAGAACAATCATCAACAGTCTTACTCACCAGTGAACCTGTGAGTATAGTAACGTGGAGCCTGCGAGATCTGCCCGTTGTTGCAAAAGTGCCATAAATGTGTGGGGGTGTCAGTCACTGTCTCATTAGAGTTAAGGCTTATTCCTCAGGAGGAAACTGTACTCTAACTTTGGTCAGAAAGTAAATCCAAATTTATGATAAAAAGTTACAAGTTTTCTTTGTAGCATGAAAAGTTTAAAAAAAATCTTACAGTATGTCATGCTTTATAAAATACATTATGAATTGATTTTCATGTAGACATCTCGTTTTAAAGGTTCTAGATAAAGCTGAATATCTAAGAGATATGGAAGCCAATCTTTTGCCTGGGTTCCTCAGATTGCAAGAATTGGTAAGTCATTTTTGAGAGTGGCTTTCCCTCATAATAGATTAGAAGATCTGCTCCCTGTCCCATATGTTGCGTTTTTCATATTTCTCTGTCATAATTAAAGTTCAGGTCTTACCATAGTAATATTAATTTATGACTTGATAGAATTACTAAATTAGCTTCTAAATTTCAATTATAAATAATTTGCTGTCTGTTAAAGAATTTTAAGTATTCACTCAGTGGGAGAAGGCTAGACATTGAATTCTACAATAATGCTTAAATATCCTTTCATTTAAATCTACGAAAGTGTGATCATCTGGATTTCTCTCTGCTAGCCACTCAGTATCAGCATGCAGTCTTCACTCTACTATTATGTTATCATTAAACAGTCTCAAAACAACTGTAATTGTCATAGCCTAATGCAAAAATAGTAAGTAGAAAAGATTTATATGCATGTGTCAGTTTAGAGAGTAATTATCATAGAGTAAAAGCACAAAAATTTTAATAATTTGAAAAAAGAAAATTGATGAGAGAATTTAATCTTCACCAGTATCTGTATAGGAGTGCTAGGTTCAACACAGCTGTGCATATCTCCTGTTAGGAGTTTGCTCACACAGAGCAAGGAGCTGGCTAAGCAGAACAGTACTGTCTGTCCTTTTCAGGTGAGAGTAATTTAAGTGTTGATGACTTTGTGGTTGCTGTATATGTTTAATTTGCTTTTATTATCTTAGCAGCAGTTTGAGCATCCTGGCTGCATGCTTGTTTGTAATAAAATGTTGAGTGTAACATTGTACTGAGTCTTCTTCCTTCTCTGAAAGGGAAATTCAGTGTCCAGTCATGAGGGACTGCTGTGACAGAACAGTAACCTTGTGCAGGAAGGGTTTATTTTTGCCTTACAGTTCCAGAAGAGTTGCTGTCCACCATGCGGCGGGCGTTGCAGCAGGTTCTGAGGCCAGGATGTCAGTTAGGAAGCCACTGATTCCATTCCATTCCTATACAAGAAGGAAGGGGAGGGGACAAGAAAGAAACAGGAAGTCAGGTGTAAGGCTAGCTCTTCCTTACTTCCTTCTGTAAGGCTCTGCCCCCTAAAGGTTCTGTGTCCTTCCCAGCTGCAAACCAACCAAGGGCCAGCTATTTAAATACATGAGCCTTTGGAAACAGTTCTAATTTAAATGATTGCAATTTAAAAGTTTAAGGGGCTTCCCAGGCGTCACTGAAATCGTTGTCTCCCAAAATATGGACTCCTGTGGTTCACATTTGTCAAGAAGTGTGGGGAGGGGAGATAGATGGCAGGATAATAAATAGGCATTGGGGTCTGTGGATAACTCTTGGCGTGAGTTACTCCTGTTACATGGTGCTTGTCTGCTTTTTGTCCTTTCATTTTTGTTAGTTTGTTTTGATTTGTTGATGTGTGTGGGCTTTTGCATGCTTTCACTCAGTGTTTCCCATACTTGCTACCTAGAGTGTTGTTGCCCTTTATATTTTCTCTGTAGACCAAATAATGGTATTTAGGTGACGTTAGCCGTAATTAGGCCATTCACTTATTTTTGGTTTTAATCATAGAAACAATTTGGAGAAAATGTAAGGTTTACTGTAATTTCCACTAGAAAAGGGAACTATTAGTTTAACTTTTCTGTAAAAATGCCTGATTTTCAATTATATTTCATTTCAGAGTACTTAATAAAAACATTTTCTGTTTTTTTACATTAAGTATATGAGTCAATTTAATTTAAATTATGATAAAATTCATTGCATACTAAAAGTATTTTGATGAAAATATTGCCAACTTAAAATCATTGATCTTGTTTTATTTTTTATTTTCTCCATATATCTTTAACTTATTTATATAAAATGCCTTTTGAACTGGCAAAATGGCTCAGTGTTAGTGAACTAGCAAAATGGCTCAGGCTCAGTGAAGCCTGAAACCAAGTTCATTACCTGAAACCAAGATGATTGAAGAAAAGACCCAACTCCAACAAGTTGTCCTCTGATCTCCACAGTCATGTTGTGGTGCTCAAGCGTGCCTACACATGCGAACACACTAAATAAATTAAAAGAAATCTGTTGATTTTTCCATGAGCTGTATCATCAAGAATGTAGACAGAGCATACTTCTTAAGCCTAAATAAATTCAGAATTATTTTTTACAAAAAAAACCAATGACTTTTGTTTTGATAACAGTGTCCTTTGCTTTACAGAAGCTTTTCAATTTCATGAGGTCCCATTTATTAATTGTTGATCTTAGAGCCCATGCTGTTGGTGTTCTGTTCAGGAAGTTGTCTCCTGTGGCAATGAGTTCAAGGCTCTTCCCCACTTTTTCCTCTAACAGGTTTAGTGTATCTGGTTTTATATTGAGGTCTTTGATCCACTTGGACTTTAGTTTTGTGCAGGGTGGTAAGTATAAATCTATTTGCATTTTTCTACATGTAGACATCCAGTTAGACCAGCACCATTTGTTGAAGATGCTATCCTTTTTCCATTGTATGGTTTTGGCATTTTTGTCAAAAATCAGGTGTCCATAATGGCATGGGTTTATTTCTGTGTCTTCTTCTCTTCGATTCCATTGATGCACCAGTCAGTTTCTATGCCAGTACCATGCAGTTTTTATTACTGTTGCTCTATAGTACAGCTTGAGATCAGGGATGGAGATACCTCCAGAAGAGCTTTTATTGTAGAGGATTGTTTTAGTGATTCTGGCTTTCTTGTTATTCCATATGAAGTTGAGAATTTTTCTTTCAAGGTGTGTAAAGAATTGTGTTGGTAATTTGATGGCAATTGTATTGAATCTGTAGATTGCTTTTGGTAAGGTGGCCATTTTTCTAATATCCAGAATATATAAAGAACTCAAGAAGTTAAACAGCAACAAATCAAGTAATACAATTAGATTAAATCCAAAAAAAGTAATCTGTATCTCAGGGGTACAGAGCTAAACAGAGAATTCTCAATAGACGAATACTGAATGACAGAAAAACACTTAAAGAAATGTTCAACATCCTTAGCTATCAGGGAAATGCAAATCAAAATGACCCTGAGATTTCACCTTACACCCATCAGAATGGCTAAGATCAAAAACTCAAGTGACAACACATGCTGGAGAGGATGTGGAGAAAAGGAAACCCTCCTCCATTGCTGGTGGGAATATAAACTGGTACAACCACTTTGGTAATCAATTTGGCGCTTTCTCAGACAAATAGGAATAGTGCTACCTCAAGATCCAGGTATACTACTCCTGGGCATATATCCAAAAATATGCTCAAGTACACAACAAGGACATTTTCTCAACCATGTTCATATTCATAGCAGCTTTATTTGTAATAGCCAGAACCTGGAAACAACCCAGATGTCCCTCAATGGAGGAATGGATACAGAAATTGTGGTACATTTACACAATGGAATACTACTCAGCAATTAAAAACAAGGAAATCATGAAATTTGCAGACAAATGGTGGGATGTAGAAAAGATCATCCTGAGTGAGGTATCCCAGAAGCAGAAAGACACACACAGTATGTACTGACTTAAAAGTGGGTATTAGACACATGGTATAGGATAAACATACTAAAATCTGTACATCTAAAGAAACTAATCAATGACTTTCTAAGATAAAGCATTTGAAAAATCTTTCCTTTGGGGCTGGTGTATAGCTCAGTGGTGGAACCTTGGCATTGCATTTGTGAGGAAGTTTTCCTGAAGGGTTCCCTGCAGGTATCCAGGAAGGGAAGCAAATTGCAGGAAGAGATAAGAATAAGTACCCAGGGCAGACTGAGTTCACCAATCAGATCAGACTCTGGTGAGTCCAATGCCATGGTTCATTGTCCGCATATTAAAACACAGTACAATGTGCGAAATTGTTTACAGGCAATAGTCATTCCAGTTCCAGGTGAACAATGAGGCTTAAGGTGTGACAAGGTAGAAACTCCTTTACAGAGTATATGTGACCACAAGGGTGGCCTCTATAGCTTAAGGCCTAGAATCTAGTGCGGTTTCTGAGATAGCATAGAGGCCAGCAGGGCACAGAGTACATGTGACATCTCCCCTGAGGATGGGTGACAGTCTGGGGAAGAAAGAGTCAGGGACAATCATTCTGGAGAATTTGAGTGAGGTCTGCCTCTATAGCAAAAGGTGGTGAGGTCTGCCTCCACAAATAGCAAAAAGATCACCAGGTCATTAACAAAATCCACTCAGCTTTCTGCATCGAATTCAGGTATTTGGTTTGTATCTTTTCCATTCAGATACCTCTCCATGATAAACAGTGCTTGTCTGTACTAGGACCTCTATGCCTCTAACATCTTCCTTTCTCTCATAAAGATGATCAATTTTTTATAGAATTATTCATTCATTCATTGAACTGATTTTGTTAATCAAAGGAATTATTTTTCTAAGTAATACAAAACAGCAGGCACAAAGCTTACTTGCTAGGAGTCAAATAGTAAATCATCACAAAATAGTGCAATTGATGAGAGAGGGTCCTAAGAATACTTGTAGACAGGAGCAGATATCACATCTGCATTGTTAGCCTCAAGGGTGCCAAAAAGAGCATGGGAAAATACAAAGGAATGAGCAGATAAATTCTCTCTGGCTGGCGTGCCCAGGCATTTGTGCCCAGTCTATTAAAGGATAATATTTACTTTTATTATTCATTGTGGTATACTAAATGTAATATTTAAACACATTTCAAAAGATAACTCTTTTACTTTGCATTGGTGATGGGGGAGGTATTGTTCATCATAGTTATTTATATTTTTACTATATTGTGGCCATTAGTTTTTCTCAATAATTTGAAAACACACAGAAGACTTTCTTAATAATATGAAGTTATACAATGTGGCAGATCTACTTTTATCCAACTCCATGTTTCTTTTTCTCTGAGTTGCTGTAGCTATTTTAATAATAGGAAATGCTAGATTATCTTTTCTTGTTGTTGATTAATTAATAGCCTATGATTTTTTAAAAATCTCATAAAGATTTTGTCTTAATTTACAAGATGATGTGTTTGTTAATTCTAAAAAATAAGTCCCTGTGTGACTGCCCTAGTGTTCATGAATAACTGAAATGTTGATTAACCTACAGTTTTATGAAAATTCCAAGCAATTATGTATGAAAATTCACAAGTGGTTGAGCTCTCTGATTACGTTTTCTAAATATGGTCTACTAATATGCAAATGATTTGCTACATAATAAGCTTTGCTGAATTTAGTTGAAGATAAATCCAAAGGGAATTACTGTCCTCAGATTCCTAAACACTAAGTTACTTTTCTTTCTTTTTCTCTGCAGACTGACAGAAATGTGACTGTTATCTTTCTCAGTGAGATTATTTGGGAAAAATTTCGTCCAAATACCGGATGCTTTGAGCCATTTGTCTTATATTTCCCAGATTATAGCATAGGTAAGTTTTTCTTGTTTGAATAAATAATCTTTGTTAAGTTTTTGTGTTCAAAGTGTTGATCTATAGCATGTTTAGAGTGAAATACTTTCATATCCTCACCTGTTTGTGCTTGTTGCCAGTCTCAACTATATGCTATATTTCTGCATTTATAGCAGTTTTAATTTTAAGCTGTGAAGGACCTATTCTCATGGTCCCTAAATAAGCAGGTCTCATGTTTGTTAATGGTGTACGTTCAGCAGCTTTGATTATATATATTAATTATATATACATACATAAACACTGTGTATATACTACATCCACACAAATAAGAATCATGCTGGATTGGTGACAGAGAACTGCAGAGAAATCTTTACCATGTACTTGGATTAAGTGCCATGTTGAATGTATCTTGATTCAATAAATTTTGTTTGTCATTGCTGTAACTCTTACTCTGCCAACTGTCTGTTTGTCTTGTCTGTTTTCTTGGGGACTGTATTTGATCTTAAATTTTAAAGGTTCTAATATTTGTTCTCTTTGGAAGAACACAGTGCTTCCGTGTTGTTGAATTTTGAGCTCTTGCTATACAAAGATAATGCTTCTGACTCGAAGACTATAGCTATGGAGCATAAGGTGGTGGAGCGGCTGTGAGAAAAAAGCATCCCAGGATCGTGGCCTTGTTAACACTGTCCCTCTCAGCTAATGAGCTATAAACATTCATTGCCAAGAGCAACACATTTTTGCCTGTTTTCACAAGAACAGATGCCAAATAACACCTCTTGCTTTAGCTAATTAACTTTTTTATTTAAAGGAGCTCAAAATAGGTAAAGACTTTATTTTTAGTAGCTTCTTGTCCATAGAAATCACAAAATGGGGGAGGGAGGAGGAAATAATAGGAAAGAAAGCTTAAATTAAAGGATTTATTAAACAATTACTTTGGGTCTGTGACATTATATTGGTTTTTCTACATCAAGAAAGTACAAGTTTGGTATAATTGTAAAATCTGTTTTTTTTTTTTTAAGATATAAAATAGCATGGATGAATTTTCAGGATAAAATCAAATATAACAATCATTCTAGGGTTGCATTATATGAAAACAAGACCTTTTAACTGTATGATAAATGGAGCCATGTTACATCTATTAAATAAAGTTTTAGTGCCTTTTAAGCACTACAAACATATATAGTGTTTGTATAATATAATATACTCATGTATAGTGTTTATAGCATGAACACTATCATTATACATTTTCTATTAAAAATGAGTCATTAACTGGATATAACCCAATAAACCAGATTATTGGAAGCATGAAATCAAGGCAGAGGGATTAGCAGTGAATGGTTAACTTGTTAACTTGTTAATCATGTTAATTGATAGGTGTGTCATTTTTATAGTTTTGGTTTTAGGTACACCTTTCCAATTATAGTCAGGGGGCCAATTTGAAAGTCTTGTTTTCTGGTCTTTACTACATACAGAAGATTACTGTCTTTTAGCAGTGGGCTTCTGCATTTTGTTTTTTGTTTGAAGAGATCATGATAAGCTTGATTAGATTTGGTTTAGTTGTTGTCAGCATAGGTTAAGTCCTGCTCTATAACAATTTGAAAAACTCGGTGACTTATAATGTTCCATCTCAACTATGTGTTCCATCTATGTTCTTTGTTTTCCTTCCTTATTTTAAGCCCCTTGGTACTACTTATTAGAAGCCTATAATATTCTTTTGGTTTTAATTAAATATAAATATAAGAAAGAAAATAGCTTTTGTCATGTATTCTGTCTAATATGTTTTTGTTATTCTAGATCTATAAATGTAGTTTCATCTAAGCCAGTGGTTCTCAGCCTTCCTAATTCTGTGATTCTTTAATATATAGTTCTTCATGTTGTGGTGACCCCCCAACCAAAATTATTTTTGTTGCTACTTTATAATTCTGCTACTGTTATGGATGCAATGTAAATATCTGTTTTCTGATGGTCTTGGGTGACCCTGTGAAAGGGGAGTTCATGAACCCAAAGGGGTCAAGACCCACAGGTTGAAAACCATTGATCCGAGCAAAACTTAGTTATTATTTCTTCACATGCTTTGACCCACTTAGGACTCTCATTTTCCCCAGGACTGTACTGTTTTATGTCATGTGACATTGTCCCATTGCAGTTTATTTAACCTTAAAATCCCTTTTCCTTTACTTTTTTTTTTTTTTTTTGCATAGTTTTTATTTCTCTGTTTTTAAATTCACTGTCCTTTTTTCCTGCCATTAATCTTGCTATCCTCTGGAATTCTTGATCATTAGACTGCTTTTTGTTTTTGTTTTTGTTTTTTTTAAATACTGTTAAGTATACGAATATATTTATAATATACTAACCTATTACCTCTTTTATTTTGGTTTTCTTTCTACTGGCCTTTTTTTTCTTTTTTCCTGAATATTATGCTTCATTTATCTACTTTTTAAAAAGCTGAATTATAGACATTGTGATTTGAATATTTTTAGGCTATGCTTGATGTGTTCTGGGAGAAGAATAACTTTTATTCCAGGGCTAATTTTTAGATGTTTTCTCTCTCTCTCTCTCTCTCTCTCTCTCTCTCTCTCTCTCTCTCTAAGACCTAACACCACTGGAATCTTTACTGAATGTCCCATATATTCATCATGGTCTGTGCATTCTAACTAAAAGTACCATGAAGAATTAATAAACCCATGTAAGTTGGGAATTGTCTGACCTTTAGTTCTCAATAATTGGCCTTTGTCCTTCCCTCTGATCCCCAGAAGTTGTTCTTATTTGGCCTTTCGTTTTGTTCTGTGTATATGTGAATTTATATGAACTCAGGTTTTTGTCCATTCCCCCCCCCCCCAACACATACACATACACTTTTTTGCATTGCTCTAGAATAGTTCTATGCCGTTGGATACACGGCCTGAAGATTCAAGCTGTCCTAACTCTACCCCATCCTCTTTCTCCTCGACTCTGAGATTATTGAGCTCGTTTGGGACTCTTTTTGTACAGAACTGGTTAAAAAACCTGGTTGAGCCAGGTGTAGTGGCACAGGACTTTAATCCCAGCACTTGGGAGGTAGAGGCAGACAGATCTCAGAACTCAAGGCCAATCTGGTCTATATAGAGAGTTTCAGGACAGCCAAGGCTTCATAAAGAGACTCTATTGATAGATGATAGATAGACAGATGGAAAGACGAACAGAAGGAAAGACAAATAGACAGATAGATAGATAACATGAAGTGGTTTGATGGTAGGACTCACCTCTTTTATTATTCCAGGGCTAAATTTAGCTTCTCCAGGTACTGTGGTCCTTTATTGCTTGTTTGAAGTTTGATTATATCCATCCACTGTTAATTCTTCATTACAGAAAAGTTTTGTCTATATTAGGGCGGCTTTTCTTTCTGTGGTAGATCATGCCCTAAAAGCAAAACTGTAAGATACACAGACCAATCTAGAGGTTTTTCTTTCCTTTTTGTTTGCTACCTGGTAGTTCAGCATTTGTTAGGAATGAGACTTTTTTTAATTATTGTTATTACTTGGAATAGTCCTAGGCTAGTAGGTTAGACATGACTTGGGCACAGTAGACCTTACTCCTTTTATGTAGTCAATACTCAAGCAGTGGGGTTGTTCTTATAGCAGTTTTAGAGCAATTTACTGAGAATGTCCTCATGGCTGAAACAGGCCAGTGGCAATATCTAATGAACTTTGTTATGGGAAACCAAGCGTTATTGGAGGGATGTATTTACTGCAACGTCCATGATGCTACAGGAGTGCAGCCTTGAGTTGGAAACACGACTGTTCCCCAGATTTCCTCATCTGTGCATTTATGTACCAACTTTTCAGTGTTCATCCAGCCAGCCATCTCCTCCTTTTTGCTCTTTTTTTCTATCCATCCTGTTATATGATAGCTTATATATAAATACCTTTATTTCTAATTGCAAATTTTTTAGTATACCAACTATTTTCCAAGCATAGTTTTTTTTTTAAAATGTAGTGACATTATATTTAAAGTATATTAGCATGTGAAAGTACATAGGCTAAAAAGTCAAGTTTTAACCTTGTGGATTTTTTTTCCTAGTAGTTTTGTTATGAATATAATAATCTTCCATCTATTGTCCCCTTAGGGTAATTCTGTAAGATTGAAAATAGCTTTAGAAATGCTTTCTTCTTACCTGCTATGTTTAAAATATCACCTTGATACAATATATAACTGTTAGCTGAGTTTACATTGTTAGTTCTGTACATTTTTAGTCCATTGTTTGATCCAGTAGCTATATCTAAATAATGTCACAAATGAGAGTAGCTAATTAATCTAGATCTGGTGGTAAGTGGCATCGTTAAAAGATTTGGCTAATGACAACCTAAACAAAAGGAAATTAACTTTGTCAGAAAATCCCAGATTACTTTATACCTGAAATTGTGCAGAAGACCTGCACTTCTGGAGAACAGGCATAAGGTTCTCATTGTGGTCCAACAGTTCTTAACCAAAAGGTCTGAGGAGTAGATTGCACCATGAAGTCAGAGGATACTGCAGTGAGAATTAATTCCAGCTCATGTACTATGGCTAGGAAATTTTGAATAATAAATACTTATTTTTATTTATTTATTTGGTATTTTTGAGACAGGGTTTCACTCTGTATCCCTGGCTATCCTGGGACTCACTTTGTAGACCAGGCTAACCTTGAACTCAGGTATCCTCCTGCCTCTGCTTCCAAGGTGCAGAGATTAAAGGCGTGTGCCGCCACCCCCTGGCTAATTTTGCTTTTAGAAATTTTTAGCATGATGAAAATAAGGTTAAGACCTGAAGCATGCAATACATAAAGCTGTGAAAAAAGCAACTTTGTTGTTCTTACAAGGCATGTCCTACAAAAGAAGTAATGAGAAAGTACAGGTTAACATTTGGCGGTGATTATTAGAAAACTTCCTATTTAATGAATTATGTTTGTTTTTTTAAGTAAGAAAGAGGATCTCCTAGTTTTTTGGGAGTTTCTGTGTGTTACCCACTCTTTTTCTAGTTCATAATACTTAACAGGCAAAAAACATTAACTAAAACCTGTATTACTTTTCATCTTTGATCTCTATTTTGCCAGTAATAAGAATGTCAAGCTTGTCTCTTTGTCACTGTTTTATATTTATTGTCATCATTTAATGATTCTTTATAGAACATTTGTGGGGCCTTTTAGCTTCACTTATATTACTCATTCTGAATTATTTCTACTAAAAAGACTTTCTGACAACAAATGCTGAGGGTTTCTTTTTTTTCTTTTTCCATCCAACAATCAATTCTTCAATTGCTTGGTCCAGTTTAACAATTGCTTGTCAATTCTATTGGAACTGTTTTTCAGGAATTGGTGTAGAAAGCACAGATTCAGCCTGACAGAGCTGCTTCTCCTGCAGATAGATGCCATCTCCAAGTGCAGGACTGACTTCTGAAAACTGACTCTAAATTGGGGTTCCCATGGTCCTCTCTTCTAGTTTAGCAGTTTGCCTTTGGGGCTCACAGAACTCAAGAAAGCACTGCACTTTCTTTCTTACTATTGAACTTGCTACTGTCAGATTATTGTCAGAGATTAAAAGAAGCAAAACAGATATGGGCATTTGGATGAAGAGCTACAAAACTGAGGTGCAGAGATGTCCCAAGCCTGGAAGCTCTGCCCAGTAGAGTTGAGGTGTTTGCAGCGAGCATTTGGATTCCTTCACCATCCTGCACTGTATCTGAACTCCATTGTTTAGGGGTGTTCATGGAGCCTCTTTTACATGCTGCAGTTGGCTAAATCATTGCCCATTGGGAAGAACTTGCCCTTAAGCCTTTCTCTTCTTCCCCAAGGCCAAGGTGTAGCAACTCTAGCAACTGTTCTGCTCTGTAAGCCATCTAGAGGTGCAGTCGAGTCACCTCATTGGTGCAAGCTCAGGTGTGTTTAGAAGACACTTAGTGGGAGATGCTTAACCCAAGTTTTGTGCCAGGAAGAAAAAGAAATATTAGTAATTCTATCACAAAATTACACCTTTCTAACTGATAATTACTTTATTTTCCTTAATCATTGTTGAATCTAAATATTTGTTTTTAAAAAATATTTATAAAATCCTGAACATAAGGATTATGGTTCTGTACTGGTCATTTAAGTTAGTTTGTGTCCTATGAACAGGGAACCTTCAAAAGATCCTGTCCCATGACCACCCTCCCGAGTATTCAGCTGACTTTTATGCCGCCTACATCAATATTCTCCTCGGAGTCTTCTACACGGTCTGCCGAGATCTGAATGAGCTCAGGCATCTGGTGAGTATGCACGTGCGCGCGCACACACACACACACACACACACACACACACACACACACACACACTTGCTTGCCTATATCCTTTAATGTTTTCCCATTTAGAAAATCTTGAGACAAGCTAGAAGCTGAGAGTATGTTTCAGAAGTTTGGAAATGGCTTTTTGTGGCTAATCTACCCTAAAAGGATTGAGGTCTATGGGTTAGTGCATACCTAAATCCAGTAAGAAAATTTGCATTCATCATCTGTTCCCTCTTTAAGTTATTTTGAATGTGTCTTTGTGTGTGTGCATGTGTGTGTGGGTGTGTGCACACAGAGGCTTGAGGAGGCTCTTAGGTGTTCTGCTCTGTCACTTACTCTTTCGAGCCAGGCTCTCCCATGGGACCTGGAGCTCACATTTTTCTGCTACGCTGGCCATGGGGAAGTCCCAGTGATCCGCCTGTCTCCACCCTCCTCATTACTAGGTTACAGGTGTGTCTTTTCTCAATAGTCTTTTCTGTGTGTGCTTTCAAATCTGCTGTAGGAATTTCTATCTGTGTAATTATATTTTGAGGCTACCTATATAGGCAGCAAAGACAGAAAAAAAATAAAGTGCTATTTTGAATATTCATTTAGATTTGCTTTCTCTGACGATGCATTTGGTAGTTCAAAAATGTAATTATAATTGTTAGAAAAGCCAGATAAAGAGGTTATTTTTTTTCATACTCATCTAAACAACAAATAGAAAAGCCTATTTGCTTAACCTCAATTTTGCCTATTTTTTAAACATGTCATGTATTTAAATTCCTCCAATATATCAAAGTGAGACTTAGAATGATGGGAAGTCACTCAGAGATGACTGAATTGTTTAGAAGTTGGCAGTATCTGCTTAGGCTGTCTTCTTTCTTTTGTCCCTTTGGATAGTGGGAAGAGAGTGGCTTAGTGACTGAGAGAGAGAGAGTGTCAAAATAAGGATAATTGGTACAATGACCAGCTAGTAAAATGTAGTCACTACTCTATTTGATGGTGTTGATATTTGCTGTAATTACTTTATAAGATAATGAAAGTATTGAGTAATTTTAAATTTTATTTTACAGATTTGAAAATAGGTTTTAATTTATAGAAAAGTTTCAAGTTTAGAAAAAGAACTCATTTCTTGATTTCTCAAACCATGTGAGAGTAAGTGTTTACCTGATATCCTACTATCTCTGAATACTCCAGCATGTATTCCATTTTCTTTTCTTTTGGCTTTTTGAGATAGGGTTTCTATGTGTAGCCTTGGCTCTCCTGGACTCACTTTGTAGACCAGGCTGGCCTTGAACTCACAGTGATCCATCTGCTTCTGCCTCCCTGAGCACTGGGCTCAGAGGCGTGCTAGCATGTGTTTCTTACCAAGACATACGCCCAACTAACTGCAATTTCACAGTCAAAATCAGAAACTCGATGGTGGGTGAGAGAGGAGAGAGAGAGGGCAGGACAACTCAGCTGGTAAAGTGCTTGACTGAGAAGTGTGGAGACCTGATTTGACAACAAGACAGGAAAAAAAAGAACTGTAATTGATGACAAATGCTTGTAATCCCAGAGCTGGGGAGACAGAGAGAGGAGGATCCCTGGGGCTCCCTGCTCAGCCAGTGTAGCCTGCTTGGCCAGTGCCATGTCTCCAAAAGAAGTGTTGGCAGCACCTGCACGATACCCAGAGTCCTCTGGTCCATAGGTGTATGCATGTGTGTGTGTGCATGCACATGTACATGCAAAAGATAATTAATTTTCTACGCTAAACTAGCCTTCAGACCCTGTTGCATGTATGTTAGTTGTCCCAACGGATATGCTCCAAAGCCAAAGAGTTAGTACACAGTTACCATGACGTCTTTTGAATTTACTTTCACCTAAAACAATTCTTGTTTTTAATTCTCATGATTTTGAGACCTTTAGTTCAGTTGATCTGTAGAATCCTGTTTGCATCTGTTATGTTTCCTCTTGTACATTTGACAGGAATATCACAGAAATGTCCTGTTGTTTTCCTTGTTTCCTGTAAGATAGCACAGGAAGCCAGTTTATCTCACATTGTTTTTGTCACATTGTATTTGTCATGTACTAGTAGTTAGTCATGTTCACTTTTACTATTTGATTAGAATGATATCTTTTTTCTTTGTAATTAATATGTATTTGGTTGGGGAAGTATTTTTACACTTGGTTACTTTAAGTTTATTTTCTCATTTCAAGCTGTCTTTGGATAGCTATTTTAAAATAGGTTGATTATCATGGAAAGGGTGGTTTTGTCCTAATCTTCGATATATTTGAAAGCAGTTTTCTGTGGTTACTGAGATTTAAACCACCCCTAAGGGCACAGCGGATTTTGAAGGACTGAATGAGTCCTTCATTTAGAGTGAGAAGTTCTGGAACACAGACAGGACTCACTGGTTGTTAGAAATTCCTATAAATTAGTGAGTGTTAATTCTAGAGTTCTTAGTTCTGATTTTTGTTCCTTCAGTATTTAAGAAATAGATACAGAGTTTTTAAACAGGCAAAATAATTCAAAATTATGTCTGCTTGGCTCTGGAGTGTTTATGCTTCAGTATGTATATTGTGTTTTTTTTTTTTTTCTACATATGAAATAGTCATCTTTAGTACCTTAAACAACACACTCTTATTAGCACACTATTCTGTAGGTCACAAACCAGGCACTGTGTTGCTAGGTTCCATGTTTGGTAAAGCTGAAATCAAAATTTTGTCCAGAATGGATTTTTATCCTGCAGTTCTGGGGCACATCTGTTTCCAAGTGCACTCACCCCTTCCTTTGGGTTGTGAGAACAAAGTTGTGTGGCCCTGGTGACCGACCGTATCTTTCTCCCCAGGCCTCCTAGAGAAGGCACATTGGTCAGCCCTGTCTGCAAGCCAGTGACAATGCTTGATTCCCCTGTGATCACTACCTTCTGTGACCACCCAGAGGAGAATTTCCCGATTATGATTAGCTCTGATCCATGTGATAATGTTCCCTGTCATAGCTCTCCAGTAGCATAGTCTCTGCCATCTTCATTTCAGCTGCAAAATCTCTGCACAGCAATACCTAGATTAGTGTTTTATTGAGCTGGGAGACAATGTGGTCATGCTAAGGCACAGAGTCTGGCGGGGGGGGGGGTCACCTTAGAATTCTTACTTCAGGCTACCTTCCAGTAAATAATCTTGCCTATTTGTGCTGGAAATCTGAGGAAGCGTTGGAAAGGCTTAATTTGCCAGCTCTCCCTTTACCACCTTGTCAGTATTCATAGTAGATTGTTTTACCACCTAAAGTAATGCAAGTCTTTCCTTTGAAACTGTCAGAAATAATCCTGTTTACCTGAATTGGGCTTTAGTAAATGTGCTCTCTATTGATTTAGGAATGAATTCTCTGGTCATCTCACGGATCCACAGTTAAAATTTAGGTGAATGGAAGCCTGTGTGCTGGCCGCAGACTGCCGTCTGCTTCTGTTCCCTCAGATGCCAGGGGACACAGTAGTGCACTTTCAACAGTCAGCGAGTTAACAGGTAGCACGATGGCTGTGCTTCCTGACCGTTGAGCTTCTCTTACTGTCGTGGGTGTGAGTATGTTGTCAGGTCTCAGGAAAGTCACAGCTGCGTTCTTCACGTCTCCTGTCTATTAATGAAAGTGGTGAGAAGGTATTCTAAACTTGATAACTGGCCTGGGGAACGTATGAGGAGGTGTGCACTGATGGTGAAAATTTGTAATATCAAAACCAATCTGAAATTATTTCTGCTTGCTTTTGAGCAGTTTTGTGGTGTTTATTATCAGCCTTATTACTTTATTTTTCTCAGAAACAAGCAATAGTGTTTAAGGCCCTAGTGACTGTGAATTTCTGTTATTCTGTGATGGTTGGTTGAGAATGGCCCCCATAGGCTCATATATTTGAATATTTAGTCCTCAGTTAGTGGACTTATTTGGGAAGGATTAGGAGGTGTGGCCTTGTTGGAAGAGGTGTGTCACTCGGGGGTGGGCTTTGAGGTTCTAAAGAGTTCATGTCATTCCCAGGTAGTTCTTTCTGCCTCCTCCTTGCAGATGAGGATGTAAGCTCTCAGCCACTGCTCAGCCTCAGCCTGCCAAGCCTGCCACCATGCCCCCACTGTGATGACTGTGGACTAACCCTCTGTGGATACAAGTCCTGGTTCAATGCTTTCCTTCATAAGCTGCCTTGATTATGGTGTTTTGTCACATTAAAAAAAAAATTTAACTAAGATAAAATCCTACTACAAAGCAGGAGAATTTTGCTGCTATTTGAGAACTTAAGTGTAGGAGAAATGGGCTTGATGTTGGAGGGCAGTACAGAATGTGGCTGGGCTATTAACTGGCTTCATTAATGTGATACCCTAGTACTATGTTGAGTTTGTAGGCCGAAAATCCAAAATTAGGGCAAGAAGTTGGCTGAGGTGAATAGTTCTCTTTTACTCCTTTCCCTCTGTAGTTAATTTTAATACTTACTATTGTCCTCTGAAGCCAGGCACAGTGCCACACACTGCAATCCCAGTACTTGGTGAGGCAGAGGCAAGAGGATCTCTGTGAGTTTGAGGCAAGTCTGGTCTACAAAGTGAGTCCAGAACAGCCTAACCTACACAGAGAAACCTTGTCTCAAAAAACAAAATAAAAAATAATTGTTCTCTGAATTTGAATTTATACAGGTATATCATTATGTCTGTCTCTTTTCCAGGCTCTATTATTAAATCATTTTATTATAAAATACTTGAGATCAAATTAATGTTAACAAATGCCACCTCTGTGTGGAAACACACATTTTACCCATTCAGTAAAATTACATTTCAGTACATGCAATTCTATTATGGAACCATTATGTAGTTATGATTAGCTAATCCTTCCTATACTTCTTAATGCAAAGAATTTCTGGCAAGATTGTTAAAACATGCAGTAGATTCTTGAACGTTATCCTCCAACTGACCTAGTGTGCCTGGGATAGTACCAAGAACTCATGTGTGCAGCGACCAGTGCACACACGTTAAATCACCCTCAACTGCATAATGCTTAATTTATGATGGTGCTTACATGCTGGAAAGTAGCATTTGATCGTCTGGCCTTCATCTTTTTAGTAAACGCCATTATAACTAAGAGTACAAATTATGCCTTCTTATTTTTTTTGAGTCTAATGTATTACATAGGATTTAGCCAACGGTGTGTATTCTGTTGTTCTACCGTTATTGATATTTTTGTTGTTTTATTGCAGTAATAAGGAAAATTACACTCTGCTTAAAAATTGAATTTAAATTGCTTAATTTTTAATAAAAATTAATGTAAAAAATGAATTCCTAATTGTAATTGTCTCCTTCTTTTTTAATCTTTTTTTTTTTAAATTCATAGGCAGTGCTTAATTTCCCCAAATACTGCGAACCTGTAGTTAAAGGAGAAGGTAACTATCTATAAATTATTAATACTTCATTTGAGAAAAATTATACAAGATTTGAATTGTTGAAATTTTCTCCTGAGAATAGCAGGTGAACGTGATACTCGCAAACTATGGAGAAATATTGAACCTCACTTGAAGAAGGCAATGCAGACTGTTTATCTCAGGGAGATTTCAAGGTAATTGTGTATGTTTTACATGTTAAAAATCACTTATCCAAAGTGCCTTGGACTAGAAATGTTGTAAACATCAGGGTTTTTTGTTTTTGTTTTGTTATTAAATATTTGTATAGAATTTACTGATTAAGCTCCCTAATCTAAAAATCTAAACTCCAAAACACTTCAAATTTCTAAACTAAACTTTATATCTAAACTGTTTTTTGATAAAAACCAAACTATGCATGCTTTCCTTTCCTTCTTCATGTGAGTACGGTAGAAAGAGAAGATTCAGCATGTATAATTGGAGCTCACAGAGATAGGAAAAAATGGGTTGTTGGAAAGCTTCAGCACTGGAGGAAAGAAAACATCTTGGGAATAAAAGAAGACTTGCTTTTATGCACCAGAAGTGTTCATAGCCCCAGATTATCCAGAATGGTAAATTCTGAGACTCTGATAGTCTGTTGCATTCTGGTAAATTGCCACAGATTTAGAGATTTAAGACAGTACATTATCTTAGAGATCTGAATGCCAGAAGTCTGAGCTAAGTCCTTAGGGATACATTCCTGCAGCTTCTAGTAGTTGCTGTGTTAATCAGGTTGTGGCTTTTTACTGCATCTTTAAGTCAGGATTCAAGCAGTGTTTCTTCTGACCTCATCTTCCTCCTGGAAGGATCTTTTTTGTTTCACTGGTACTACTTGAAAATTTATTGAAACTTTTTGTCTCTGTGTGTGACTCAGTCAGGCCTAAGGCATTTTCCTCCACATAAGGCAACATAATTGCCTGTTAACGTCTTTAAAAGAAGCATTATTAAGTCTGGTATTGAGACATGGAACTATTTAAATTAAAAACAAAAGAAAAACATCTCTAGTCTTCCAAGGAAAAAGTCACTTACAAAAGAAAGTTAATGATCTTTTCTAGTTTCTATCATTTGCCTGCAAATTTCATTATTTCCTTGTTTTTAACTGCTGAGTAGTATTCCATTGTGTAAATATAGCACAATTTCTGTATCCATTTTTCAGCTGAGGGACATCTAGGTTGTTTCCAGATTCTGACTATTATGAATAAAGCTGCTATGGACATAGTTGAGCAAATGTCCTTATTGTGTACTTGAGCATATTTTGGGTATATGCCCAGGAGTGGTATAGCTGGATCTTGAGGTAGCACTATTCCTAATTGTCTGAGAAAGCGCCAGATTGATTTCCAAAGTGGTTGTACAAGGTTATATTCCCACCAGCAATGGAGGAAGGTTCCCCTTTCTCCACATCCTCTCCAGCATGTGTCATCCCTTAGGCCGATACTCTAACCAAGGATCATGCTTGGAAAGGGTCTAGACCCCGTGCTCACAGGAAGCCTATAGGTTGCTCAGTCTCCAAGTGGGTTCACCTAGTCACTGACATGAGCTCAGTGGCAGGCTCTTTGATACCTCCCCCTGGAGTATAGCCTTGCCAGGCCACAGAGGAAGATGATGCAGCCAGCCCTGATGAGACCTGATAGGCTAAGGTCAGGTAGAAGGGGAGGAGGTCCTCCCCTATCAGTGGGCCAGGGAAGGGAGCATAGAGAAGAAAAGGGAGGGTGGGTGGGATTGGGAGGAGACAAGGGAGGGGGCTACAGGAATAAATTGTAATAAACCGGGATTCAAAGTGAATAAATTATAATAAACAAACAAATAAATAAATGAAAAAAGAGGAAAAAAGTTAATGAAACTTGCAAAGTAATGAGTGCTTTTGAGAAACCCAAAGAGAAATGAAGCGAAAAAGACTTGTCTTTTCAATCTGTAAATCAAATATTAAAGCTGTAGAAAAAATAATTAAACAGGGAACATTATTTATAAGGCACCTCTGAGCAATCTGGTAGTAACAGCCCTGGCATGACAAAGAAATACCAGGGAAACTTTGTACCAAAAGATTGATAAAAACATTGAATTCAGTTTTATCTTTAAATGGAAATAAAATACAGGTGTAGAACAGTATGTGAGTATTCATTGCTTGATAAGCTGTAGATAGCATATCTTTTTAAAAAATGGCAAGAGGTATGGCAGTCCATGCTTTGATTTCATCACTCAGGTGGCAGAGGCAGACAGATTTTGTGAGGCCAACCCGGTCTATATAGTAAATTCCAGGCCAGTCAAGGCTAGCTGCCAGAAAAAACAAAAACAACACAAACAAACAAACAAACAAACAAAAAAAGAAGTATTACTCTATAGGTAAGAGATGAGAGTCTAATAAGAAGCCAAAACTTTTTTCCCCAAACACCTTTTCTTATCCTTTCAGCCTGTTCCTAACCAGCTGTACAGGGTCTGGGTTCTCTTCCATCTCTTTTGTTGAAAAATGCAGTTTCATTTACATTAGTTCTGCTTTTGACGCTGTGCTCTGGAAGGACTTGATCTTTGGGTCTCAGTGTTCTGATCTGATCATACCCATGTCAGTTGATTATTCCACAGATTGATGCACAGTTGTATCCAGTGCAGTGACTAGAACTGTTGGGAGCATACAGAGTGGCTATGGTAGTTATTGATTGTGATTTTGCTAGCTTTACACCTGTGGTCAGAGGAAAAAGGATTATTTTAAAGGTTAACATTTGAGTATTTTGTTACACTGTTATTATATGTCAAATGATTTTGTATAGGTACATACACATGAATATTGTATGTATTTTCTATTTTCTAATTTGTTCATAAATTAAACTGGTAGGTTCTATGAGGCTCTTTTTATTACAGCATATTGATTTCTTACAGTTTTAAATCCATTTTTGTTGTTTTATTTTAGTTCCCAGTGGGAAAAGTTACAGAACGATGATACAGACCCCGGACAGCTAAAAGGTATCAAAGAAAATACCGAGACAAGTACCAAGGAAATATGGTGGTTAATGCTAAAGGGTCTTCAGTTAGGAAGTAGCATTTGAAAAGAGATTGCTCCTCAAGTTATAGTATTTTCATTAATGATTTTCCTTCAACTGAATATCAATTTTGTGTTTTTTAAGTATTGGATTCTATTATGTGAAAAATTAGTAATTCTTGTGATGTTTTCACCTAAGTATTCCAATTATATGATACATTATATTTCAGGTTAGGAATATTTCAGGTTAGCTGCTTTTATTTTTCTTAAAGAAGCTGTTATGCATTTTTATCAACTGAAAAGATTTTTAAAAATATATCAAAAAGTTTTCTTTTTGAAAAATGTAAAGATTTCTCTTCAGGAAAGGGTATGGTATGGTGGTATTAAGGTGTTTTTTTTCTCTGGGTTTCTGAGCATTTCAATTGATTTCCAAATGATTTCTAAAAGTATATTATAGGAGAGTGAAATAAATGACTAGAGTTAGAAAAAAAAAAAACTGCTGTAATTTAACTGTGCTACTTCCTGTGTGCTTCAAACTGTGCTGTTTCAGGACCTCTGGAAGAGCAGCCAGTGCTCTTAACCTCTGAGCCATCTCTCCAGCCCCATAGCTAGCTTTAAATTATTACAAAGATTTTAAGGGAAGCTCTTGTAAGGCCTCCCACAGAGTGTGACACACAGTCAGCATCCCATCCTTCCTCGTGTGCATGGCATTGTAGGTGTACAGGAAATGGTCTACTGGACATGGCTTCTTCGGTGGAAAGTGTCTGTCAGTAGGGGTTGTTGTTTTTATCTAAGGAGCTCCTAACATGTGACATAATATTACATGGGATATATTTTTGTGTGCATGTCTGTGTTGGGGGGGATAAAGAATTGGAGTAGAGGTAAAGTGTCCTAATTTGTGGTCATATAAGGTCTTCAGGGAAGGAAAAAATAATCTTAAAGGGAAAAAATAATGGAATTTACACTGCAGCTTGGGAAGAGCCAAGCAAATAGAGCACACAAAGCATTGACAATATTCAGCCCTGCGGTAGCCGTGTCAGAAGAGGAGATATGGTCAGAAGGGCAGCTGGAACGCTGTGGAACGCGATGAATGCTGTCATGTTCTGTCATGTAGGTCTCTCGGCGTACACCCATGTGGAGCTTCCATACTACTCCAAGTTTATTCTTATTGCTGCTTACCTTGCCTCGTACAACCCAGCAAGAACTGACAGGAGGTTCTTCCTTAAGGTATGAGGGACAGCCTTCTGTTTCTTGAAAATCCCAATAGTACAGTTGGTCTTGCAGCTTAAAATATGCAAGCTTCAAATTAACTGTTCTTACAGCATTTACATTATATTAAGTAATCTAAAGATGGTTCAAAGAACAGAGTATCTTATACAACTAGCATTCTTACTTTTATATAAGGAACTCGAACGTCCATGGAGTTCGGTGTCTGAATGGTCTTCAGTCCTCTAGGGATACCAAGGAATGGCTGCTTTGAAGTTTCTCTGTACTTATGAATTTCTAATGGGCAGAGATTAGACTAAGAGATTGCTAACTACACAATTTGGACCACTAGTTAATGGCTCTACAGTCACAGTCTTAACTTTGGAAGAAAGCAGGTGTTTACGGAAGAGAGGATATTGGGTATAAGCTGGTAGTGTAAAACCTTTTCACTCCCTCAGACCCTTCTTTATTTATTCCCATTTACATGTGTGCGTGCATTTTCCTTTTGTGTGCATGTGTGTGGACAAGGTGCGCATGCATGTGTGTGCACATGCATGTGGAGTTTGATGTTGGAAGTCTCCATCATTCCCTGAACTCGCCAGTCTGGGGAGTTTGGCTAGTGGGCTTGCTCTGGGCACCCATCTCCTCTTTGTGCAGCTGACTTACAGCGGGCTACGCGCCGTCCGGCATTTATGTAAGCTCTGGCATCTGCACTTCAGCTGTCATTCTTCTTTTCCCTCCTCTGGAGGTAAAACATTTGATAGTAAAGTTATGTTTGTTTGTTTGTTTGTTTTGATTGATTTATTATTTTTATTTTTGTCGTTTGTTACTCGTCCTCTCAGGGCAACGATAACCCCAACTACTGAGTCTTGAGTGCCCATTCTCCTTTAAGTGACAAATAACTTGTTTATCTTTGGAAGTTTTGTTCTTATAGCAGTGAATATGTAGTACTAGGATCAGTGTAATAAATTTTTCTAAGAATTATCACTATTGTATTTTATAAGCTTTGTATGCAAAAGTAATTCTGCATCCAGTCTAAATCTAAGTCCACCCTAAAGCATAGCAAAGTCTAATATGTATATAAGTTAATAAGTAAAATAAAATTTCTGAAGGTGTGTGTGTGTGTATGTGTATATATATATATACCATTGGTATATTTATACATATATATAAACTCATACTATATAAATATATATTATATATGCACCATATTTTCAATGAATTGTTTTTTCTGGTTTGAGCACCTTAATCTAAAAAATTATTTTCCCTAATTGCAGCATCATGGGAAAATCAAGAAAACCAACTTTCTAAAGAAGCATGAGAAGGTATTTATATTTTAAATTCTCTTACCTTTTGGATGTAGAAAAACTTAATGAATGTAGGATCATTAAGGAAATGGATGAATGTGTAATTTTATTTGCATATAAGAACTTTATGTTAATAATGTTACCATTTACTGTAATAACATTTTGTTAAGTACATTATTCGAAAGCAAATTGAAAGGAGCAGGTACTAGAGATATAACTAAGTTGGCAGTTTTTAATAACTTATTTGGTGGAAAAATTCTCCCTGGATTGTTAAGTTAAATACAATGGATTAAACTCAGTTACTTTCTTCTTTTCCACTCTCACATACCCACTAAAAAGTCCATTGATGAAATAAAAATGGAAAACCCATAAATACTTAAACAGGTAAGAGAATTCTACAGTGTGGAATTAGGAAGTGAATAGTACAAAACTTTTTAAACTAAGGGTCTTTACCCCTCCCTTATTAAAAATTTTCTATAAACTTGTAAAAACCAAAAATTAATTTAAAACCAAACTTGCAATGGTCTGAGGAGTCAGTCCATATTAAATCACAGAACTGGACATACCACCATGCTATGTGACACACATATGTTCAGATTTACGACAATTGCTCGTTAGGATTATACTATTTTTACTACAGATACAAAGTTTCCTGCTCTTAAAAAATATAATAGTTTAATTACAGGAAACAAAAATCTTTCATATTTTTCTACCCTTGTTTTAAGCATGTATCAATTTAGTTTATCTTTGGATTGTTTCATTTTAGAAAACTTGATTTTTAAAAATTAATGTTTAATCTGCATGTTTGAGTTAAATGAAGTTTGTATTGGGCTTAGGAAAGAATTTCAAGCAATTTCTGAAGGTCTGTTAAGCATACTTTTACATTTTGTCTGATGTGCATTTGCAAAGTGATATTCCCAGCACAATGAGTATAAAATCAGAATATTGATCAACATTACAGAACACTGAAGGTACTTTACATCCTGCATAAAACCTTCAGCAGAGATCCTATTATTTATGTAAACAAACACATCCTGTTAGGGTACAAAGTAGCTTGTCTTTATTAAATGGTAAGATCCCAGGAAAGAATTCTTTTTAAATGAACTTTTTTGTAATTATTATGAGCAAATGATTTGTATACCTTTTAAATGTGTCTAATCCCGGAACTTACCCTCTGAAGGCAGAGGCAGACAGATTTCTATGAGTTCAAGGCCAGCATGGTCTGCATAGGAAGTTTCAGGCCAGCCAAGGCTGGATCCTTTTCTCCTTGCTCCCCTTGTTGTTGACTAGAGAGGCCCCTGCTTTTCACTGGACATCATGTAGGATGGGAGAGGCCATGCAACTCATTCAGTTTTGTGAGCAATACATAAGTTCTGTCCTGGCAAGCCGCTCAGATTGGGATCTCTCTTTTCTGCAGTGCTTTAGCCTTGACCAATATACAAATTTCATTCATATTTAATTTGATTAGATATTGTCAACCTACAGAGTTGGTAGGCTGTGTTTTATAACCTCCATCCATCTACAAAAATGAAGACATAAAGTCTTCCCTGTGTGCCCAAGAAGGGGGAAAAACAAACACTTGCAGCATTGTCTTTGTTCTGCAGAAGTGCATGTGTGTGCCAGGAGAGATGGGCAAGATTGTCAGTAGCAGCATGTTTGTAGTAGCGATGGCTTTCTTAAGTCAATGTGATAGTGATACAGTCATAAAAATGGATTAGGGCTGCATTTAAAATACCTATGCATAAGTCTTAGAAAACATAATGTTAAAGGGAAAAGGTAATGTGATAAAAAGCTGCATCCAAAATAACAAAATTTGTATGGAATTTAAAGTCATACAGTGCTACATACTGCTAGTAGATTTGTGAACACTAGTATTGTGAAAACCAGTGTGAGAATAAGAGCATTGTGTTTTAGATAGGGATTCTTTCGAGGGACAGAAAGGGATAATGAGATAGAAAGAGTTAGATGGGTTTCAAATTTTTAGTAATGTGGTCTAAGTTTTTTGTTTATCTGCATATATTACATAATATTTGGGTCTGAGTAAATTGGAGAGTGAGTACATTGGTATTTATTATATTAAACCTCTGTACTTTTCTCAATGATTGAAGTATTTGGAAGGAAAAGCATGTGAAATTTAAGAGCAGAAAGATAATATCTAAAATCTGGGCCCAGGGGTCTTTTCTGAGACTGATACTCCAACCAAGGACCATGCATGGAGATAACTTAGAATCTCTGCGCAGATGTAGCCCATGACAGTTCAGTGTCCAAGTGGGTTCCCTATAATGGCAACAGGGACTGTCTCTGACATGAACTCAATGGCTGGCTCTTTGATGACCTCCCCTTGAGGGAGGAGCAGCCTTGCCAGGCCACAGAGGAAGACAATGCAGCCAGTCCTGATGAGACCTGATAGACTAGGGTTAGATGGAAGGGGAGGAGGACCTCCCCTATTGCTGGACTGGGAGAAGGGCAACAGAGGAGAAGAGGGAGGGAGGATGTGGTTGGGAGAGGAGGAGGAGGAGGCTACAACTGGGATACAATGTGAATAAAATATAATTAATAAAAATAAATTAATAGTATATTTAAAAAGACAAATAATATCTAACTGTCTTTTAGCTGTAACTGAAGTAAATCCTGGATTTTTTATACTTTGATCAGGTTTTGTTTCTTTGCTTACAGCCATTCTTCTTTTAAATATATAATTACTCTCATGCATATACTTTCCTAATTTTTCACTCTTAATAGAAAGTCCTTAAATTCTCAACCTGTTTTTAAAAGTATCTGCTAATAAAATGGAATTTCAAGTATTGTGATTTTCTAATCACATGATTGTACCATATGAACAGCCACAACTATGAACATTTACAGTCTTTAAAGTTTTTATAAATCCTAGATTATATCAGGCTGTCAGCTTAGTCACTGATGAGACCATTTTATTACTTTGCTAAATTAAGATGGTGTTTGTAATTATCAACCTTTTTTAAACTGTTGAACTTTCTTAAACTGCTCAACTCTTTTGAAACTGTGTTGTTAACTAAATGTTGAATAAGTATATTTTCCAGGAATTGGTCTGAAGAGGAATGGTGGGAATTAAGTAGTATATTCTAGTCTAGGAATTAAGAACCTGGTTTGGTTTTATATTGAGGTCTTTGATCCACTTGGACATTAGTTTTGTGTAGGGTGATAAGTATGGATCTATTTGCATTTTTCTACATATAGACATCCAGTTAGACCAGAACCATTTGTTGAAGATGCTGTCTTTTTCCATTGAATGGTTTTGGCATCTTTGTAAAAAATCGGGTGTCCATAAGTGTGTGGATTTATTTCAGGATTTTATATTTGATTCCACTGATCCACCAGTCATTTACTATGCCAGTACCATGCAGTTTTTATTACTATTGCTTTATAGTACAGCTTGAGATCAGGGGTGGAGATATCTCCAGAAGATCTTTTATTGTAGAGGATTGATTTAGCAATTCTGGGTTTCTTGTTATTCCATATGAAGTTGATAATTTTTCTTTCAAGGTGTGTAAAGAATTGTGTTGGTAATTTGATGGGAATTGCATTGAATCTGTAGATTGCTTTTGGTAAGATAGCCATTTTTACTATATTAATTCTGCCAAGCCATGAGCATGGGAGATCTTTCCATCTTCTGATATCTTCTTCTAATTCTTTCTTCAGAGACTGGATTTTTTTTTTTTTTTATACAAGTCTTTGACTTGCTTGGTTAGGGTCACACCAAGGTACTTTATGGCCTTTGTGGCTATTGTAAAGGGTGTTGTTTCCCTGATTTTGTTCTCAGCCCTTTTGTCTTTTGTATACAGGAGGACTACTGATTTTTTTTTTAGTTAATTTTGACCCTCGCCTATCAGGTCTCATCAGGACTGGCAGAATTTATAAAGAACTTAAGTTAAAAAAACAACAAATCAAGTAATCCAATTTAAAAATGGGGTACAGAGCTAAACAAAGAATTCTCAATAGAGGAATATCAAATGGCAGAAAAACACTGGAAATGCTCAACATCCTTAGCTATCAGGGAAATGAAAGTGAAAAAGACCCTGAGATTTCACCTTACACCCATCAGAATGGTTAAGATAAAAAACTCAAGTGACTACACATGCTGGAGAGGATGTGGAGAAAGGGGAACCCTCCTCCACTGCTGGTGGGAATGTAAACTTGTACAACCACTCTGGAAAGCAATCTGGTGCTTTCTCAGACGATTAGGAATAGCGCTTCCTCAAGATCCAGCTATACCACTCCTAGGCATATATCCAAAAGATGCTCAAGTACATAATAAGGATGTTAGCTCAACCATGTTTATAGCAGCTTTATTTGTAATAGCCAGAACCTGGAAACAACCCAGATGCCCCTCAGTAGAGGAATGGATACAGAAATTGTGGTACATCTACACAATGGAATATTATTCAGCAATTAAAAAAAAAAAAAAAAACAAGGAAATTATGAAATTTACAGGTAAATGGTAGGAACTGGAAAAGATCATCCTGAGTGAGGTATCCCAGAAGCAAAAAGACATATAGGGTATACACTCACTCATAAAATCTGTATACCTAAAGAAACTAATCAAGAAGGAGGACTGGCTAAATGTTCAAACCCCATACAGCAAGGCAAAAAGGATGAACATCAGAAGAAGGAGAAAATAGGGAACAGTACAGGAGCCTGCCACAGAGGGCCTCTGAAAGGCTCTACCCTGCAGGGTAGCAAAGCAGATGCTAAGGCTTATGGCTAACCTTTGGGCAGAGTGCAGGGAATCTCATGAAAGAAGTAGGAAATAATAAGACCTGGAGAGGACAGGACCTCCACAAGGAGAGCAACAAAACCAAAAAATCTGGGCACAGGGGTCTTTTCCGAGACTAATACTCCAACCAAGGACCATTCATGGAGATAACCTAGAACCCTGCACAGATGTAGCCCATGGCAGCTCAGTGTCCTCATGGGTTCCATTGTAATAGTAACAAGGACTGTCTCTGACATGAACTGATTGGCCTGCTCTTTGATCCCCTCCCCCTGAGGGGGAGCAATCTACCAGGCCACAGAGGAAGACAATGCAACCACTCCTGATGAGACCTGATAGACTAGGATCAGAAGGAAGGAGAGGAGGACCTCCCCTATCAGTGGATTTGGGGAGGGGCGTGTGTGGAGAAGGGAGAGAGAGAGTGGGGTTGGGAGGGGAAGAGGGAGGGGGCCACGAGGGGATACAAAGTGAATAAAGTGTAATTAATTAAAATAAAAATGAAAGAAAAAAAAAGAACCTGGTTTGCGGGCTAAAGAGATAGCTCAACAATTAGTAGCACTTGGTGCTCCAAACCCAAATGGCACTCACAGGTTTGTGTAACTCCAACCTCTGCCGGCACCTGCATGCCTGTGGTGAACGTGCATACATTCAGGCACACGTGCACACACACGAATGAGTGAATGAATGAATGAATGAATGAATGAATGAATGTCTTGGTTTTGGTTATGCATTATCTTGAAAAATCATTTGACAATGTCAGCAGAAGTGCTCAAGACTGCAAATGTCTGAGTTCTTTCACGTTTATTGGTACAGAGAAATGTTAAGATTATTTATAAAAGATACGGCATTATCTGCACGAGATAGTACCCTTCAACATGGAGTTGGCAGGGCTCTTGACTCCCCTCTCTGAGGATTTGTAGGAAGGTAATGCTGGAGGAGGGAGAGGCAGCTCTTCAGTGCTGTAGCCCCTGGTAAGGTGGCCATGCCCCAATAGCCCCGTACCTGTGCTCTGTCAGTAACAGTGAAACTCAGCTGGGTTAACACAGTAATGGACATGAAGGAGGACCAGGTAGGAAGAAGATCTGCAGGATGGGAGAGACAAGGAGTGTAAATGAGCAGGTGTGGATATGATCAACATGCATTATCTCTGTGTAGCAAAATGTCATAATGAAACCTACTGTTGTGCATAATTAATGGATGCTAATGAAAATGTCAAAAGATAAATATCAGGCAAGGTTTTAAGGACTGCAGGTTAAATTTGTTAGTATGTTTGAGGGAAAAACTATAAATTTATTACTACTAGGAATTTACAGTATAGAAAGCATATGTTGTGTTATAAGAATATGTTGTCTTTTCTCTACAGACAAGCAATCATCTTCTTGGACCAAAGCCATTTCCTCTGGACAGATTATTAGCAATATTGTACAGTATAGTGGACAGCAGAGTGGCTCCAACAGCAAATATCTTTTCCCAGGTAGGCCTCGTCATGGGTTCTTTTCTACCATTTCCAGTCAGTTCTTCAGGTAGTGTGGTAGGTGGCAATCTGGGTATAGATTATTTTTGCTCGGCAAATGTTAATGTTCAACTGTACAGTGACTACTGTTCTTAGTAAGTACAGTTGGCCCTTTGTATAGCTAGGTTTGGAATTCATGGATTCAACCAACTACAGTCAGAAAAAGAAAACAATGAATTGCTTCTGTCCTGAGCATACGCAGGCCTTGTTATTATTCAATACAAATATAAATATAGTGTAACTGCCGTTTATATAGCATTTGCATTAAATTATGTTTTATACGTAATAGAGATATTATTTAAAGTATCCTGAAGAGGAGGTTCATTGTATATAAATATATGGTATTTTATACACGGAGCTATGCGTCCTCAGCTTTGGCATCTATCGGGTCCTTCAACCAGGCCTCCTGAGGACGCTGAGGGCCAGATAGACTGAAAGTTCCAAACAAAAACTCTTTGAGGAAATCACAGGTTTCTAAGTATAAATGATGACAAAAGCAATTTAATGTTTCTGATTCTTTTTCTTTTTTTCAGTAAAGGAATTTTTTAAAATCACTGCTGATTAAACAAGTGGCTTGATGATTAAATTGATGAATTATAATATATAAGCATGATTTAATGGAAATATTTTTAAATGTGTTGGAAAGTAATCTATAATGTCTTTATTTCTCATAAGTATATTTCTTGGGTTGACATGCTCTTTCTGTCAATTTACCTCTTTTTTTGTAATAACTCAGTTTTCAATCAGCATTTCGCTAGGTGGCAGTATAAGCCAAGACGTAGAAAATGAGTATTTTGGTTTTTGGATTTTGTTTTTAAGTAATTCATTGATAATTTAAAGAAAATTCTATATTTCTATATTTCTTAAATGGTTCAGAAAGACTTGGCATGTATTATGAATAGAAAAGGCGAACTGATGTAACTGGCATCTGTTAGAATACAGTCATGTCAGATATGCAGTGAGCAGTTTGTTTGTGGATATATTTTTATGGTTGGTAACAAATAATGACAGTTAAATTATAATTACCTCACTATAAGTTTGATCTCAGAATGGGTATCAGATTTTGTAACATTTGATAATAGCTTTTAATTCATTAAAGAAGATTAAAGTACCAAAATTGACAGTAGTTGCAACACTCTTGACATTGGATCTAGATTGATCTTTATAATACTTCATATCAACATTTGTAGAAAATTAGTATGTGCATTGAGTCACAATCCTTTTGCCTGTTCCTGAATGCTGGGTTCCTGAGTGTGCACCACATGTCCAGTTACTGTTAGCAAGTTTCTACGCACAACATACATGGTTTTTATTACTACAATAGCTGAGATGGACATCAGGTGCTGTTATCTTTAAACACATTCAGCTTAGGTTGAGGGGAAGTAGGAGAAAGATGACTTCAAAACAGAAAAAAAGCAGCATCATTGTATGTGATTATAATTCTTAGATGCCCCAAATTACCTTTTTGAGAACCAAACAAGGATAATTTTTAAGAAAACTTTTCTTTTTGGGAGTTTGCAACTTATTTGGTGATGGTGGGGAATACATAAAAATAGTATTAAAAGGTTTTAAAGGAATGCTTGACACTGCTTGTGATGAGCTAAAAGCAGAAATGATTACTTCTGCATTGGCAGGCTGTAAGAATGACCTGGCAGCTAAGGTGGAAAAAAATGGAGCTTGGCTGGAAAGAATGAGCAGAGTGTTTTTGTTCTTTAGTATTTCTATGTTACTTAAAAAGTAATTCTGCAAAAAGGAAAAGCAATGAAATCAGTTGACATTTGGAGTGGATACAGTTTAGTGATGAGCAGGAACAGAGATGGGTGAGGGGGTATAGGACCAAAGTTAGAGAACAAAGCAAAAGCTAAACATTTGTGCATGGTTGTTCTAGGAGCTTGATTGGCATTGGATGGGGCTGTGTCTAAATAGAAGTAGTCGCTGTAGGACTAGTATTGTTACCTCTGCTCATAGGGCTGCCCCTCCCACACAGCGCACCTTGTGCCTCCTATCCTGTGCCCAAGTTACCAGGGCATCCTACTGTTTAGAAATAGACTCAGCAGTTTCACTCTCCAAGGAAACAGACAGTCACAGACAGAGAGGTTTCTGATGTAGGGGCTTACTGACTGTTCTGGCATCCTGACTTTGAGGAACAGTGTGAACAGTATCACCAGTCTTTGTGTGCACATTGCTGGTGCTAATGTAGTTAGAGACAGCTTGGCCCAAGGTCTATCTTTATCTGGTAAGAAAATTCTTTTCACTCTTGGCAGTGAAAATTGTTGACTTTTTGGTTGCCTCTTCTTATTAACACTTGATATTTATAGTGTTTCAGATGTTTAAAGCATATAAGTGAATATACATACATGTTTGTTCATAAAATCTTTTAGGAAATTGGTCATTCCGATTATTAGGGTATAAAAGATGGGGAAAAGCAAGGTGATAGATTTACCTAGACTTAGGGTAACTTTGCTTTTGCTTGGTCAGTAACTTATCCAAGAAAAGAAAAGAAAAACGTAATATGTTCAGGAACAAAATGTGGCAGGTGGGAATCAGATCCAAAAGAAGACTGTCTCACATTCCTTTTGCTTTTGGTCAGCAGTGACTCTGAAAGGCTGCTTCTGTTTTACTTTTCTCTCCTTCATCTGTTGACTGTACTCCTCCCCCCAGAAGCACCATTTAAAATTAATGTATATACTATTTTTTAAATATGTATACGTCAGCGCTAACATTTTTACTGGGTGTTCTTACTTGCTCTGAACACTAGGTGACAGTGTTGTTGCATTGTAGGTTTAAGTTGCAGTAGACACCAGCTTTAACTTAACGCTGTTTCTGACATTTAAAAAGAAAGTGATTTTAAAATTTTTCCACATTTTGTTTGTTTGAGTGAAAGCAGAATGACTTGAAGGAATTTAGTATGTGTTGTGTGTATCTAGGCATGTAAGTATCCTTTCATGAAAAGTGTGATTGGTGAGGAGTTATGTTGCTTGTCTATATGAGATGATAATGTATTACTCTTCCATTAAGTAAATCTACATGCAGTTATCCTAAAGATTTATTTTATAGTAATATAATATTTTGAAGCTTGATTTAACAGTTTATATATAAAATGTTCATATAACAATTGATCATTTATGCCTTATAAATTCAGAGTTAACACAAAGAAAAAAATATTTTAATTTTATTTCACTTAAATCACTTCTATAATGAAACTATAAAAATCACATCTTAAGGAGATTTAAGTGTTTGAGGTCTGAGAATAGTTCAGGGTGGTAATAGCAATCATGGCAAGTATTCTGAATTTACTCACTAGTGCATTCAGAGGAGCAGCACATTGAACACTGAAAGTTGTGTGAATTTACTGAACTTTAAAAACATTTTAAAGGTTTCAGACTTTTAGTTATTAATCATACCTAGTTTTTGTCCTATACACCTTGTAATCCTTCTTACAAGTCTGTTCTAAAGTTCTCATTGAGGAAACCACAGTCTCCCTTGTGTGAATGGTGCGGCCGACAGATACTTACCCTGAATTATAGCTTTTTCTTCTTTTTTCTGTTGTATGAGTGGAATGCATATACCACAGCCATGCAGCAAATGGGTAAAGTTGCACTCATTACCTTCACATTTTGAATTTGTTCAGATACGACCTTTAAAGACCTTCAAAGATAAAGTATTGATTTCTTTTCTTTAGAAGCATATTAATCACATGATTTTTGTGGGTTTTTTTGCTTTTGTTTTTGTTTTTTTCCCCCTTATCTGAAGAAAACTGATAACTTGTTTGGAGAATTTTGAACAATTTGGTGTTTTGTTTGTTTGTCTTTGTTTTTGAGACAGGGTTTCTCTTTATAGCTGTGGCAATCCTGGACTTTTGTAGACTAAGCTGGCCTTGAACCCACAGAGATTCACCTGCCTCTTCCTCCCGAGTGCTGGCCAACAATTTGTTTCTTTTTTTTGTTTAATTGAATTTTTATTTTATATTAATTACAGTTTATTTACTTTGTATTCCAGCTGTAGCTTCCTCTCTCATTCCTTCCCAGTCCCTCCCTTCCTCTCTCATCTCCTCCCTGCCCCTCTTTAAGTCCACTGATAGGGGAGGTCCTCCTCCACTTCCATCTGATCCTTGCCTATCAGGTCTCATCACGACTAGCTGCATTGTCCTCCTCTGTGTCCTGGCAAGGCTGCTTCTCCCTCGTGGGGGGCGGTCAAAGAGCCAGCCAATGAGTTCATGTCAGAGACAGTCCCTGTTCTCCTTACTAGGGAAACCCTCTTGGGCACTGAGCTGCTATGAGCTACGTCTGAGCAGAGGTTCTAGGTTATATCCATATATGGTCCTTGGTTGGAGAATCAGTCTCAGAAAAGACCCCTGTGCTCAGATATATTTGGTCCTTGTGGAGCTCCTGTCCTCTCCAGGTCTTACTAACTACCCCTTCATTCATATGATACCCTGTACTCTGCCCAAGGTTTGGCTATGAGTCTCAGCATCTGCTTTGATACACTGCTAGGTAGTCTTTCAGAGGCCCTCTATGGTAGGCTCCTGTCCTGTTACTTGTTTTCTCCTACTTCCAGTGTCCATCCCATTTGTCTTTCTAAGTGAGGATTGATCATCTTACCCTGGGTCCTCCTCTTGTTTAGCTTCTTTAGGTGTACAGATTTTAGTATGTTTATCCTATCTTAGAGGTCTCGTATCCACTTATAAGTAAGTATATACCATGTATGTCTTTCTGCTTCTGGGATACCTCACTCAGGATGATCTTTTCTAGTTCCCACCATTTGTCTGCAAATTTCATGATTTCCTTGTTTTTAATTGCTGAGTAGTATTTCATTGTGTAAATGTACCACAATTTCTGTATCCATTCCTCCATTGAGGGACATCTGGGTTATTTCCAGGTTCTGGCTATTACAAATAAAGCTGCTACAAACATGGTTGGACAAAGAAATGTTCAACGTCCTTAATCATCAGGGAGATGCAA